TACCTTTATTTCTATTTACTCTTATTCGTATACCTATCTCTATTTTTGTTCATTTTCTTTGCTGATTTGTACTCATCCAAACCTTAAGGTGTAGTCAAACTGATTTCTGCATTTATTCATCACCTGGATCATTTGTGATTTTATTGTTCAAAGCTTTTCTTCAAGGACCTCCTGTTCTTTTGGGGTCTTTGACTGTAGGATCATACCTAGAAATATGGTTTCTTTTTTTGAAATGGAGTCTCACTCTGTTGCCCAGGCTGGAGTGCAGTGGCACCATCTCAGTTCACTGCAATCTCCGTCTCCCAGGTTCAAGCGATTTTCCTGCCTCCGCCTCCTGAGTAGCTGGGATTACAGGCACCTGAGAGCACACCTGGCTAATGTTTTGTATTTTTAGTAGAGACAGGGTTTCACCATGTTGGCCAGGCTGGTCTCAAGAGCCTGGCCTTGTGATCCATCTGCCTGAAACTTCCAAAGTGTTGGGATTACAGGCGTGAGCCACCGCACCTGGATGAAATAATGAATTGGTTTTTCTTCATGGTAAAAAATTAAGTTCAACAAGTTTACCTTCTTTCCTTTTATTTTCCATGAAATCATCAGCAAGATAAGGCAGCATTTTATCAAAAAAATCAGGTTTCAGCCACAGATTTTTGGCAAGTGTCTGTGGTCAAGGTCTCCATTTGGGTCTTATTCTTCTTATTATTCTTTCATGCCATTATCCTTATTTAACTTGGCCTGATGAACAATTATTGATGAACATTCTGAAGCAAGTAAACAACAAAAAAAATTTAAATCATATAGTCATCCATCTATCCATCTTTATCTTCATGCACTGTTACATCCAGTGCTCAATAATATAAAAAGGAAGAATATACTGGAACCATACATTTTCCTTCAAATCTCTGATTTCCATGTTGGTATATAATTTCTGTAATCCTCAATTTCTTAAGCTAGCAAATGTTTGGACTAGGACATATGATCCTTTCAGCCACAGATTTGCACGTTTTTTTTTTTTTTTGTTTGTTTTGTTTTTTTTTTTTTTTTTTACTCTCCTTTCTCTGCTGTCCATTTCATTTGGACAAAGCATATAGTAAGTGAGACTGAGTACCACTCGAATCAGGTTATTCTCAGCCCACTTCCTGATTATTGTGAATTATAGGATATTTTCAAATGACTTGAACACACAACTGTCTTTTGAAGATCATCTAACAAGATTAACATTCATCTTTGGAAATGGTTGGAAGTACCTCCACATACCTCTGCATACCCGTGCATGCCCACATCCACATCACTTTTATGTGAAGTCTTAATTAGGGCATAAAACTTTCTTTCCAAAGCAGTGCTCCTAGTCACTGCTAGAATTCCATTATTCCAGTGGTGTTAGGCAGGATTAAAAAAATGAAAGCCCATTTCATGAATATAATTTATATAGGCATGATTAAAAAAATGAAAGCCCATTTCATGAATATATAATTTATATAAGCTACTATTTACTTTCTATATCCTCCTTTCTTTCCTAAAATTAAAACACCCAGAAGAAATAAAACCAGATTTTCCCTAATCCTTCAAGTTTTCTATGCACAATTTCAAAGTTACCAGAGATATATACAAGGTCTGTTATACATATTACCTGTTTATTCATTCTCTTGTCATTCAGCAAAAGTGAGTAACAGTTAGAAAACTGTTAGATTTCAGGTTCCTACAATAGAAATTGCAATAACCAACTCCATGGGAATTTTCTGCTTGTGATGGGGAGCTCCAGTGGATATAATACTTTTTTCTTCTTGTTTTTCTTTATTCACTCTTCTGCATTCAGTAATATTTCACCTTCTTAAAAGTAGTTTTAATTCTCTAGAGCACCTTTAGAATTCCTTCTCCTGTTTTCTTCTCAATTATTTCCAACACCCTACATGAATCTTTTATGCTATTGATAAATCATAGTCTAAAAAGGAGTTATTCATACAGTTGTTTTTAAAGTTCCTGTAAGAGCTTTAGGCTCTTTCTCCCTAGAGATCTCATCTAATCTCACTTTGAAATGCCTTCTGTACAGCTAGAAGATTTCTAAATGCATTTCTGGCCCTCTTCTCTTTCCTGAGTGCTGGACTGATATATTCAGCTTTAGGTGTTATTTCTTAGTTGAATGTCTACTGGCATATCAAACTCAACATGGTCAAAGTAGAAATCTTATCTCTCCGTTAACTTCCTCACTCTCTATCTTCTGTCTCAATTACTGGCACCACCATCAGTCTAATTGCCCAGGAACTTTGGAGTCTTTTGTGACACCCCTGTTCTCTCACTCCTTGTAAATTTCTGATTCATTCAGCAAGAACTTCCGCCAACAGAGAGCCTGCAGTTTTCCATTTCTTAGCATCTTTTCTACAACCATAGTAATCTAACCCACATCTCTAGATTGAAAAACAGCAATTGTCTCCTACCTAGTGTCTCTGTTTTACTCTTTTCTCTTATAATCCACAGAGCATCCAGAGAGTGCTCTTTTAAAACATGCAAATTAATCTTATTATTCCTTGGTTTAAAACCTTCTAATGGGTTGGCAGTGTACTGAGAATTAAAATGAAAACGCTTTACCATGGCTTTCAAAACTCCTGGTAACCTGGCTTCTATTAGCTCTCCCACCTCATCTTATGCACTTGCCCCTCTTTTCCTATGCCTTGAAAACATTAAATATATTTCTGGGTTAGAGTCTTTGCATTCTCTGTTACCTACACCCACAATGTTATTCCCCTAGTTCTTCTTAAGTCTACCCTTTCTATCATCCAGATTATGGCTCAAATGTAAACTTCTCAGTGAAGTCTTCTCTCATTCCCAGTCCAGAGCAGTGCCCATTTCTTCACCCCTCCTCCCACAAGTCACTGTCTTTGCCATTGGGTTTAAAAAATTCCTTGCAATTATGATTATTAGAAATAATATCATTTGTGGTTTTACTCCCTCCCCCCTCCTCTTTTCATTTGATCTTTTTAGGGCAAGGACCATCTGTCTTCACAGCTGTAGAACTGCTAGTAGAGTGCCTGGAACAGACAAGTCTTCAACATGTAGTTGTGATATCTATAAAATATGAATGTCTTCAGCTCTCTTGAATTTCAAGTGAAACTAGCTTTTTGTAAGTCTCTTGTAAACTGACAAGCAAGCTTTTTTTTTGATAACAGAAAACTGTGGAATATTAACTTTATTCTGATTTGAAAGAAAATTAAATATATTTTTGGACATTTAAAAGAACGTCCTATAGAAGGGCATTTCATCAAGAAATATTCCACCATTCTCCTAGATTAACTGAATCTAAAACATTAGGAAAATTACCTACTTGTATCATGTACGAAGAGGACCACCTCATAAGTAACTATACAGGGAAAATGTAAACACAGGTGGTAGATCTTATCAAACCATCACATTCAGAGAATAAATTCAAGTCTCTTTTCAAGCGATGAATGACACAATGTAGTTGTGCAGCCTTGCCGTGTGGAGGCTCCATTACTGATCCTGGGAACACTGTTCTAAAGGAAACTACCTTGCAATATCTTGGGCCACAACCAGAAGTCAAGACATAAAAAAGTAAGATAGAACAAAATATACTATACAAAAGAAAATGCAAAATGTTTGTTTAGGTATGTTGCCTGTACTTAAGCAGGGGAAAGGGAAGATCTAGGGAAATGGAGAAGAGAGAGGCAGGACTGACTACATAATCAGCGTGGCCCATTGCAAAATAAAAATGTGAGGCTTCTTGTTTAAAAAGCATGAAGAAGAACAAAACAGCGACAGGAGACTACTGTTCCTGAGCATTAAACCAAACAGTGGTATTATGAGCTGTGGCCTAGACAACTGCACAGTCGCACACCCATGAAGCCCACCCTGGTGGAAGGGGAGAATTAGAATTCATCTCCAAGAATGTGAAGCAATCCCCACCCTGCCAAAACAACAACGAAAATAAACAGCCATCCAAATTAGGGCAAGTTGTGCCCAATCCTGATGGCTGCGCTTGTGACAATGGGGGTGGTGCTGAGGTGGACTTGGGAGCACCGCTCCTACAGAACAGACTTTGATAAAGAAGAATAGTTTCTGAAGCTCCAGAGTAGAAACTTCAGGCGCAAAGAATAAGGTGAAGGAAAGGAGACAGTAACAGATCCTCCTCTTGTCCTCGGGCAGTCAATGCCTTTTCTTTTCAAAGCGACCCTCTCCTTAGCTCGCTGTGTATATCCGGTGCCTTAGGAGCTGGGTGGAGTAGGTAGGGTTGGCTGTAAGGGCGTGTCAGAGCAACAAAAAGGATAGAGACCGGTTTAAATCTCTTTTTGTGGATTGGTTTCCTACCGTCTTTGGCAACAAACCCCAGGGCTCTCAGAGGGGGGCCTGGATTCGTGTGGGCTCCGGATGACCTATCTCCCTTGACTCTCCGAAGGTAAGATCTAAGGGCAACCCCTGTGATTAGCATTCTGGAATCCCTCAAAAGTCACCTCACTTGAAGAAGTGCGTAGTCTTCGAGCATTTGGAAGAGGTGGCAGGGACCGTGGGGCCCGGAAAGCTCGCGACCTGGGAAGCGGGTCGGAGGAGGTGCGCCCCATCCATTCTGTCTGCAGTCGGGGCAACCAGGCCCGCGAGAACTGGAGTACCGGCAGGGAGGGAAGAGCCGCGCCTGCCTAGGCGGCTCCGAGCCCGCCACTCTGTCCTACCTCGGCTCGCGGAGGTTCAGGCCCCAGGAACTGCGGGCGGAGGGGGCGGCGACCAGGCACCCTGCGGCCACTGCGGCCGCTGCTCCTGCGACTCCCGCGCCTGCCGGGTGGTGGCTCCGCAGGCCCCGCCCCCAGCTCCCCTTCCCTGCCCCTCACGCCCCCTTCCCGCCCCCGCCCGGCGTCCGGGCCGCGCCGACCCGGCGCCCTGTCCTTCCGAGGGCGCCCGGCAACAGCTTTTTGGCGGCGACGGCGCCTCCCCTGTGCCGGCGGCGCAGCGCTCCGGGGCTGCAGAGTCCTCCCGCCTCGGCCATTTTCCCTCATCCCCCCTCCTCCGTCTCCTCCCCTCCCGTTCCTCATCCCCTCGCCCTCCCCCCGCGCCGGGACTTTTCCGGAAAGTTTTTATTTTCCGTCTCGGCTCTCGTAGAAAGAAGCTCCTGGCTCAGCGGCTGCAAAACTTTTCGACTGCCGCGCCGCCGGCTCCCGCCCTCAGCTGCCCGGCCCCACGCCGCGCCGAGCGATGAGCGCCCCTCCGGTCCTGCGGCCGCCCAGCCCGTTGCTGCCGGTGGCGGCGGCCGCGGCGGCAACTGCTGCCGCACTGGTCCCGGGGTCCGGGCCGGGGCCCGCGCCGTTCCTGTCTCCCGTCGTGGCTCCGGTCGGGGGTATCTCGTTCCATCTGCAGATCGGCCTGAGCCGCGAGCCAGTGCTGCTGCTGCAGGACTCGTCCGGGGACTACAGCCTGGCGCACGTCCGCGAGATGGCTTGCTCCATCGTCGACCAGAAGGTAAGGCGCCGCACCGCTGCCAGCCCGGCGCCTCCCAGCCGCGCAGGGGGCGCTGCCCGGCCGGCCCTCCCTGCGCCAACTTTCTGGCTCCCGGGGCTCGGCCGGCCGCCAGCCTCGCCGGCGCTCTGGAAGCGGTTGGTCCCGCAACCCGAGGCGCCGCGCTCGCTGTTGCTCATCCTCCACTCGCCCCATCTTTCTCTATTCACCGATTTCTTTCCAGTCCGCCTCCTCCTCACCCTTTTCCATCCTTCTTATGACATTTTAAGGTATCTTGCCCTTTCCTCGCCGCGCCCCTTCTTGTTCTTGAGACTTCCCAGCTTTCTTCCCCTCACTCCCCTACGGACCCTGGACCAGCGCATTCCTGGCGCCAGAATCCTTTTTCCTGCACCAGAGTGTGTCCAGGACACCCTCAGTGTGATTGTAGCACCATTCCCTTCCCTTCCAGACCTTTCTCTCATCACAGATTGGTGTTGAGGGGTTCCTGGAATGACCTGGAGGCCAGGAATTTCTCACCTGTCAGATAAGCTTTTAAGAGAGTGTGATTGATTCGGCCAGCTGTGAAAACAACTGACCAGGACTGCAGCTACCCAAGTCCCTGTCATCTTTACTTCCACCTCTGTATGAGCATGGAAACACATTTTCCAATGACAAAACCTGAAAGTCGCAACCGTCTTGTTTTTGATTCCCGGAATGCTGATAGTAGGACGTTGAAGTGGTGGGGGTGATGTCCAGGAACACCCCGAGGCTGGCTGTGACCTTAATTTTGAGGCCGTGGGACTCTGGACAGCAGCCACTGAAGGCAGGTTGGAAGATGGGCCGTTATAGGGGCCCAGCCATCCTCGGAGGAGACTCAGTCCACCCACCACTGTTTACAGTTGCAATTTGGATTTTCAGGTTGCCTCTGGAGCCATCCAGAGGGATGCTGCATGGAAGAGGGTGATACAGATGTGGAGGGGGGGCGGGGGGATCGGCACAGGGCCAATCTTTGTGTAAACAGCCAGGGTTTCAGGGGTGGAGACAGAGGTCTCTAAAGGTGCTGAATTTCAGCCCTGGAGGACTGACTGGCATTCCTTTTGCTTTCTAATTATCAGTTGAATAATCATAAATTGATTTCTTCAAACTATTTGTAACAGAGTTTGCTAAACCTTAAGGGCCATGAATTGCAGCACTGAGCATAGGGTTGTTAAAAGCGCCAGGGGCGGGGGGTGGGAAATCACTGATCTAGGAAGTTGTAAAAGTTCTAGACTAACGTAACAATGAGTGCCAGGAGTTTTTATTTATTGAAATTTATATTACGGGTAACTGTAAATTGTTTGCAGCTTCCAAGAAAATGACACATTTTGTCTAATGCTGATATAAGTCATTTCATGCTCCTTTTCCACATCAGTATTGTCTATTGTGGGTGAGCAGGAGCACTCTCCTAGGCACTGTGAAAGCCTTGATACAACCCTCTGCATTTGATGCAGACCAATTAATTAAACAGCAGTGCTCCATAAGCACATATACAATGTAAAATAAAATTTCTCGAAAAGCAAAGGTAATTCTGTAAAATTTTAACTTTTTAACATTCTAAAGCATGTGATGTAATGTCAGAGAATATTCAAATTGGGTCAAAGTAATAGTGATAGTCTTTGTTTAATATTGACCAGCTAGAATTTCCCCCCCACTTCTTCATAGAGTTCAGAATGGAGAGACACATGGTTCAAGAGGTTTGGGAGTGGGATTTTAAATCGAGGGTGAATTCCAGGTGCCTCAGAAGCTATAGAGGTGTGTTACATGGAGAAAGTGAGATGAGAGCAGAGGGAGAGGGGCAGCAAGCACCAATCGAATACAGCAGGCCTGAAGGTGGTGGCTGGGGTATTTAAGGGAAGTACAATTAGAAAAAGGCTTTGAATTAAAATAAACTCAAATTACTAGAAGCTTCAGTAATCTTTTCATAGTGACATCATACCAAGGACATCTGAAAGATGGATTTACTGTGTGGAGGTTTTAGAATGCCAAAAATGTTATGGCAGAAAGAACACTGGAGTTCAGTCATGAGCTAGTTGGAACATGAGCCAAGACTCTTTGGGGAAAGAAAGGGAGAAATACTGGAAAGGGAAAATCATCAGGCCTGATTGTTGACTGATTTATAAAAGGAATCCTTTTTGTATTTATTCTAGTAGTTCTTCTGTCCCTCAAAGTTTGACAAGTTTGACTGTTTGGGATAGTTAAGGTATAGCTCTCACTTTGATTTCCTTTTTTTTTTTTTAGGTTATAAAAAAGTTGGGGTTAAATTTATAGATGTGAACATAAGGGCTATTTATATACAGAGTACTGTAAATATATATATATATGTATATATATATATATATATATATATATATATATATATATATACTGGATAGTGGTTCTGGATAGAGGACTTTTTCAATTTCTCTATTGCCTATCATCTCTTTCAGAACTATTATTGTCCCAGCAGAAACAAAATTAAGAGAGCCGAAGGTCCATCACAGGATAACAGGGATCTCTGTATGCTGAAACAGTAGGAATGGCAGTGTCAGTGTGGAGTTAAGGAAGTGGGAGGGGGTTCTTTTATCTTTTATTTCAGTTTTTTTTTTTTTTTTTTAAGTACCTTATGAGGACATCAGCTATGAGGAAGAATGACAGGAGTTTGGGGAGTAGATGTTGCAGGAGAGAGCAGAGGATTTGAAATCATTTACAATTTACTATGTGAGCCGGAATCCTGTGGAACTTACAGCAGAAGGTTCTCCTGATCTTTCTGAGACTTCCACATCTATTGTTTTAAATGTGATAAGACGTTTTTCATTCACTTTGTTCAGGAGCTCCCTAAATACTAACATAGATCATACGAGCTTTAGAAATATTAGCTGACAGTTTCAGTAACATGCATAGGACATTTCCTGTGGGATGAGCAACTGAGGTGTACAAGGCTGCGAAAGTTTCCCTGAGAAACTCACCTCTAAATTATTATTGTTATTGTATTAAAATTTAGAGTATAGTTTTTCTCTATGTAGCAGACATTATTGTATTTGAAACATTGTGATGATAATTCAACAAAAAATACTTATTTTAAGAAAATGTCCCTGAAGTCTATACTGACTTACATAAGTAAAGAATTATTTGTTTCATCTTCTAGTTTAGATGAAAAATCTAGTCTTGCTTTTTTATATGTAACAATGTATGAATATATAAGATGTTAGATGTTATCCTTTCTTTTTAGAAAGTATTGATCCAGATTTTTATTTATATTATGCTTATTTATTTAGTTTGCAAGAGTGTAACATTGAAACCTGGTTGTATATAAAGATATGTATTCTGTTAATGTACATGATTATTGTTTTCAGGAGGATAAAAAACAGTAACAATAATTGACTTCACTTTGAAACATTGTTACTTTCTACTATCAAAGAAACCTTGAATATGCAGACTGAGGAGGAATTGTTTTAAAGTAAGGAAAAAAATTCCAGAGGAAGAGGTAGTTTGGTGTCACAGTTCATCATTTACCTATCTACCACACACACAAACATAGTTTTTTGTTTTTTTCAAATGAGCAGTATTACTTTAGGGATGTTTGATGCAATTAATATAACTGTTCATTTTGGCTATTACCTTATTAGAAAGACAACTGATATTTTACTCTTAAATGTACTTAAACGGAGTAAAGTATTTGTAAGACTCCTGGCTTATAGTTTCACTTTTCAGAATCGTCTTTTGGCCAAAGAAATTTAACAGTGAGATTTTAAGTAGATAGCTCACTAAAGGAATAAGGTTAGTGCCTTGGTTTGAAAGTAGCATTACTCTGTTTTTAATTGTTTCACTTTAATTGTATTATACATTGTTTTCTTAATAGTTGTTCTGTCATTTTTCTCTTTATTACTAATTTTAGCTATTCCACATACTCCACATAAATTGAGAAAGTTGGAAGTAATTAGGTGCTTGGCTAATCCAAATGCCCTGACGAACAAACTCCTTTTAAGCTAATGATGGTCTTTGGGGCTTAGGTGTATATATTTTTATTATAATTTTATAATTGGATATATTATATGTCTACTGATTTCTGATTTAACGTTGAAGTATAGACTTTGTCTTTTACTGTGATTTTTTTCTTTCTTTCTTTTTTTTTTTCTTTCTGATACAAGGCCTCACTCTGTTGCCCCAGCAGGAGTGCAGTAGCACAATTGCAAGTCACTGCAGTCTCGCCCTCTGGGCTTAAGTGATCCTCTTGCCTCAGCCTCTTGAGTACCTGGGGCTACAGGTGTGGGCAACCATTCCTGGCTAATTTTTAAATTTTTAGTAGAGATGGGATTTTGCCATATTGCCCAGGCTGGTCTCAAACTCCTGGACTCAAGAGCTCCTCCTACCTTGGCCTCCCAAAGTGCTGGAATTACATGTGTGAGTCACTGGGCCTAGCCTATGAAGTGATTCTTAAGTAATACAATTTTAGTACTCTAATTTTATTTTTATTATTTTATTTTTTAAGATAAGTCCTAGACTATAGTACAATACACAATCATAGCTCACTGCAGCCTCAAATACCTGGCTAACATGATTCTCCTGCCACAGTGTCCCATGTGTTTGGGACTACAAGTATGTGCCACCACATCTGGCTAATTAAAAAAGTTTTTTTATAGAGACAGTGTCTCACTATGTTGCCCAGGCTGTTCTTGAATTCCTGGCCTCAAGCGATCCTCCCACTTCAACCTCCCAACATACTGGGATTACAGGCATGAACCACTGTGCCCTGCCTATATTTTTAAAATTTAAATTTCTTTTCAAGTTTATAGTATGATAGGATTATATTTTGGAGCTGTATATTATCTATGTATTTATGTATTATTTATCTGTAATATATGTGGTAGGTTGTCTTTTTTCTAATATATTTAAATATATTAAATATATATTTTTAGATTTTTATCTATGTCTAACTATATTTTAAATAGACATTATGTGTATTTTTAAAGAGCTTCATTATCCTTGTATAGCCTCCAGATGCTGAA